CCGTGTTTCTCAAAAGAGGGGCGTTTTTTTTTTGTTTGCGCACTTGGGGCCACGGGCTCCGAGCGGCCGTTTTTGCCCAAAAAAAGAGCCCCCCGTGGTGTCGAAAAGGGGGGAAAAAAATTTTTTTCCCAAACGCAAAAAAAAAAAAAAAAGAAAAAGCCCCCTCGGCGGGTTTAAGGGGTGTATCTCTTTTGCGCCCCCAAATGTTTTCAAAAGAGGGATTTGGGGAAAGCTGAAAGTCCAAGGCTTCAGGGTTTTTCTTTTTTTTCAAAAATTTTGGCAAAGGGGGGGGGGGGGGAGACAAGGGAAGGGGTTGGGAAAACCAGGGGAAAAAAATGCCTTCCCTGGGAAAAAAAAAAAAAAAAAAAAAAAGGCCCCGCGCAAAAAAAGGGTGGGCACCCCAAACCCTCAAAAGGTTTTTTTCCCACCCCCTTGGGCTTTTTGGGGAAAGGGGGGGACCCAAGGGGAAATCTCAAAAAAGATAAAAAAACCCCCCCCAAGAAAGGGAACTTCCCCAAAAAAAGGTTGGGGGGTTTTCCGGCTCTCTTTTTTTCCCCTTTTTCCCCCCCGGGCCCAGGGCCGGGGGGGCCGGCCCCGGGATTTAAAAAAAAAGCAATTTTTTCCCGGGGCCCAACCCGGGCCCTCCTTACCAAAAAAGGGCCAAAACAAACCCCAAAAAAATTTCTCCCCACCCCCGGGGCAATTGCGGGAAGAAAAAAAGGTGAAAATTTCTTGTTTTTTTTACCCTGGTTTCCCCCACCCCCCATTTTTTTTTTTTTTTTTCCCCGGGAAAAGAAAAAAAAAAAAAAAAAAAAACCAGGCCCGAAAAAGGGTGGGTGCGGTGGAGCCGAAAAAAATGTAAGGAGGGGGACTCGGGTTAGGGGGGCCATGGGAAACTTAAAAAAAATAACAAGGGACGGGGAACGGGCGTGAACCCCAACTCCTTTTTTGGGGGTTGGGCCTTTTTTTTTTTACCCCCTCCAAAAAAAAAAAAAAAAAAAAAAAGGCCCCAAAAAAAAAAAGGCAAAAAAAAAAGCCGGGGGGCGCCGGGTGGGCTTTCCAACCGCTTGTGTAAATTCCTAGGGCCACTCCTGGAGGGGGGTTGAAGGGCGGGGGGTGCGGAAGTTGCTCGAAAGAAAAAAAATCCAGGGGGAGGTTTTCGAATGACCCCAAGGCCTGAAGCAAAAAAAAAAGAGCGAAAGGACCCCCCCCCCCCGGTTCTCTTTAACTATAAAAAAAAAAAAAAAAAAAAATAGGGAAAAAAAGAATGGAAAAAAAAATTATTTGGCAAAAAACTTAAATAAATTTAAGGGATATAAAAAAATTTGGGAAAAAAAGCGGGGGCCATTTGGTTGGCCACATGCCTTGTAAGGTTCCGCCCAAAAGTTCTTTTTTAACCTTTGGGGAAAGGGGGCTTTGAGGGCAAAAGGCCAAAGGATTGCCTTGGGGAAAGCCCAAGGAAAAGTTTTGGGAAAGGGTTTGTGTGCTTGTGGAGGCGAGGCTTGAACCGGGCCAATGGGGCCAAAAATCCCACCTTCTTTAAGCCTTTGGGCCAAAAACCCAAAGGGAAAAAAAAGGGAAAAACTGCTGACCTCAAAAAAAAAAAAAAAAAAAAAAAAAAAAAAAAAAAAAAAAAAAAAAAAAAAAAAGGCCAAAAAAAAAAAAAGCAGGTTGGAACCCCAAAAAGCCCCGCTTTTTCCAAACCCGGGGGGGCCTTTGTCGTTTCCCCAGGCCCCAACTCTTTTTGGGGAAAAGGCCCGAAAGGGTTGGGGGGAAATGGGAATCGGGCTGAGCTCAGGCATTCGAGACCCAGCCTGAGCAAGACGAGACCCCGTCTCTGGCTAAAAATAGAAAGAAAATTAATTGGCCAACTAAAAATATATAGAGAAAAAATAGCCGGGCGGTGTGGCGCGTGCCTGTAGTTCCCAGCTACTCGGGAGGCTGAGGCAGAGGATCGCTTGAGCCCAGGAGTCTGAGGTTCTGTGCGAGCGGCTGACGCCACCGGCACTCGCTCTAGCCTGGGAGCACGAGGAGAACTCTGTCTCTAAATAAATAAATAAAATAAATAAATAAAATAATAAATAATAAATAATAAGTTAAACGTAGAATTACCAGGATCCAGCAATTCCACTTCCGGGTGTACCCCCAAAAGAGGTGCATCTGGTCGCCCGTGTTTACAGCACCAAAAAGTGGAGGCGGCCGGGCGCCCGCGGCTTGCTAGATAGTCAAACGCGGCTTGCACACGTGGGGTGTTATTCAGCCTCGACGGCAACACAACAACCCACTGTACAACAGGCGTGGACCTTGAGACCGTCTCAGGCCAAGTGAAATGAGCCAATCACAGAAGACAGAAACACCGTCCCATGCCGCTGAGATGAGGTCCCGGAGTAAGCCCGTCCCCGATACAGAGAAGCAGAAGGGGCTGCGGGGGCTGCCGGGCTGGGGACACGGGACGGCGGGGCTGGGGGGTGAGTTAGTGTTTCCTGCGGACGGAGTTTCGCTGGAGAAGAAGATCGTGCTTCTGCTTCCCAGTGTCCGCCGGACCCCCGAGTGTGACTTTCCGTGCGACACGTCTTTCCGGTCCAACTACGCCGGGACTGGAGACGGGGAGGAGATCCTGGGTCATCCTGGGAGCTTAAACGTATCTGCAGGTGTCCTTGCCAGAAGAAGCAGAGGGGAACGGGACGTGCAGGAGGAGGAGAGGCCGGCATCAAGTGACGCGGGCCACGAAACGGGTCCCCCCCGCCCCGAGCCCGCAGAGAGCCGCGCCCTGCCCGCACTTGGAATTCAGACTTCCGGCTCCGAACTGGGGGAATAAATTCGTGTCGTTCTCAAGCCACCGATCTGGGGCCATCTGCAGCAGCATGCGCGTGGAAGCTCGAGCACGCAAGGCATGAGATGGGAGGGATACTTTTTTTTTTTGAGACAGGTCTCACTCTGTTGCCCAGGGCTAAGTGAGTGCCGTGGGCTCAGCCTCGCTCCACAGCACACTATCTCTGGCTTCAGGCGATCCTCCTGCCTCACCTCCCAGTAGCGGGACTACAGGCACCGCCCACCATGCCGGCTATTTTTTTCTGTATACTTTTAGTGTATCCAGCTAATTTTCTTCTTCTATTATAGGTAGGAAATGGGTCTCACTCTTGCTTCAGCTGATTCCGAACTCCTGACCTTGAGCAACTCCCCCCCCTCCCCCCTCAGCTCCCAGACGTGCTGGAGGCATGACAGGCGGTGATCCACCGCGCCCGGCCCAGGTTAATTCTTTTAGACAAGCGGGTCAGAGGAGGGCGTCGAGGTGGGTGAAGCGGGAATTCCACGAAGGGGGTTTCTTATTAAAGGCACCGCATGTACACACACGACACATACAATGCACACGCACGCGCCACGGACATTCTGGGATCTATCTCTGACTCCTTCACTGCTGCGGATGGGGCTCCTCGGGTTCCCCATCTGCACCTGGCAGGGGGGTGACTGTAAAAAGATTGATCTCTGAAGGCCAGGCTCGGTCTGTGCTCACGCCTGTCATCCCAGGCACTCTGGGAGGCCGAGGCGGGGATCGCATCGAGGTCCAGGGATTCGAGAAACCAGCCTGAGCAAGAGCGAGACCCCATCTTACTATAAATGAAAGAAATTAATTGGCAACTAACAAATATAGAAAGAATGAGCCAGGCATCGGGGCGCATGCCTGTTGCCAGCTACTTGGGAGCTGAGGCAGGAGGATCGCTTGAGCCGAGTTTGAGGTTAGCTGAGCGAGCTGACGCACGGCACTCACTCTAGCCTGGGCAACAAAAGCGAGCTCTGTCTCAAAAAAAAAAAAAAAAAAAAAAAAGGGAGAAGCAAGCCAAGTGCCCATCGGCGAATAAACAGATAAACAAAAACGGCAATCCAAACAATGGGATGTCACTCAGGCCACCCAAAAAGAGGCAAGCGCTGCTCTCTTACGACAATGCGGGATGAACCCTGAAAACACCCGCTAAGTTGGAGAGAGGCAGACGCCAAACAACAAAGGTCAGTGCGGTGTGACCCCATGTACATGCAATGTCTAGAACAGGCAAACCCAAAGGCAGAGAAAGGAGACGCATGGTTGCCAGGGCTACGGGGGACGGGGGCGAGAAGTGACTGCCAAGGGGGACGGGGTTTGTTTGTGGGCACGAAATGTTCTGGAGCTAGACAGAGGGGGTGGTCCACAGGATTACGAACGCACTAAATGCCGTGAATTGCATGCTTAAAGATGGTTAATTTTATATTAGGTGAATTTGGCCTACATTTTTAAAAATATCAAAAAAGAAAGAAGAGAGAGAGAGAAGCACTTTGAAAACTCGTGAGAATTGATCAGTGTTGGCTGCCTCCGGAAGGAGATCTAAAGAGCTGCAGCCAAGATGGGCCGGGCGCGGCGGCTCACGCCTGTCATCCCAGCACTCTGGGAGGCCGAGGCGGGAGGATCGCTCGAGGTCAGGAGTTCGAGACCAGCCTGAGCAAGAGCGAGACCCCCCCGTCTCTACTAAAAATAGAAAGAAATTAATTGACCAACTAAAAATATATACAGAAAAAATGAGCCGGGAGTGGTGGCGCATGCCTGTAGTCCCAGCTACTCGGGAGGCTGAGGCAGGAGGATCGCTTGAGCCCAGGAGTTTGAGGTTGCTGTGAGGTGTGATGACACCACGGGCGACAGAGAGAGACTCTGTCTCAAAAAGACAAAAACTTAGCCAGCCTGACTACTCCTGCGTTGCTGTTTCGTAGCAGCGAGAGCCAGTCAGCATGCCGTGGCCGCCCGGCGTGCCCACTCCCTCTCTGAGCCAGTCCTGGATCTCGTGCCAGACGCAGGGCGGGGCACCTGGCAGAGCGGCCCGCCCTGCTGGGGCCGCGCGACGCTATCTGGCCGGGAAGCGCCAGTGACAGCTCTCGCCGCCCGGCCCACGCCCAGGGAGCGCTGGTTTGTCAGGTTGGCCCGGCCACCGGGAGACTTGTCATACAAGGTGTGTGGGCTCCCGGGAGGGAGCCCGGGACATGGACCCGGGCCCAGGTCGGCACCAGGTGCATGCCTCTTCTTGAGCAGCAGGCAGGGTCGGGGCCAGCCAGCCGGGCAGCCCCCCGCTGCTGGCCCCGACACCCCACAGCCCAGTCCTGCCGCCCCCTCCCTCTCTGCGCCTGCAGTCAGGACGTCCTGCCTCCTGTTCTGACTCACGTGGTCCCCTTGCCTTGCTCAACACCAAAGGGCTGGCTCACCCCAGAGAGTCACACTCCCCCAAAGTGCCAGATCCCCCCGGGAGGTCTGCAGGGGGATGGGGGTTCTAGGTCTGGCGTATCCACCCTGAGCACCCCAAATTTGTGAGGTTCTGAAAAAGAGCTTCGGGGTCAGGAATGACGACAGAGGGCAAGGCCACGCTGGCAGATGGGCTCGGATCCTATTTTAACCTTTCACCTGCGACTTCCCCCTGTCCCGACGGGGTTAAAACCTCTAGTCATCTAGATCATTCCAGGGCTGTAACTGTGTCTGCCTTCCCAACTGGCATAGCCATGCCTGGACGTGAAACCTTCAGAAAGGAGTCTGTTGAGCTCTGCCTCTTTGCTGCGTGACCTTGGGTGAGTGTCTGCACCTCTCTGAGCCTCGGTCTCTTCATCCATAGGACAGAAATCCTGCTCCCCCACCCCACGGGGTTGCGAGGAGAACGCAGCCGTTTGAAAGCGCTCAGTCGGCACTCGGTCACACGCACGGCTCCACCTCTCGTGGCTGTCAGCAATAAGGTCACAGTCATGACTGCTCCCTGGCAGTGGAAGGTTTGGAGAACCGGGTCCAAGGTTTGCCAAGGAGGAGAGAGATGGAGTCCCATCCTCTGAGTGTCACCCAAGTCACCGTCATCCAAGCGCCCCTGCAGACGCCAGCCCGGAGCTAACATTACCGCTCAGAAACCCAAGCTGGGGTGACGCTGGGGCCATTGGAAAGGTGGCCCAGGATCTCGGGGTCAGATGGGGCTTGTTTGCTCCAATCCCAGCTCCCCCACAGGGGGTCCATGGGCACCTGCTTCCCCTCTCTGGGCCTCAGTTTCCCCCCCTGTGAAATGAGGGCGGTTGGGAGGCATTGCAGGCGGGCTGGTTCCCCGTCTTCAGGCCGGGCGGCAGCTGGGAGGCGCTTGGGGCGGAGTTTGGCGCGGCCGCCAGGGGCTCTGGCTGGGCTCAGCTCCAGGACCCAGAAACGGGGGCGGGGAGGAGCAGGGAAGGAGGACTTCCAGGCGCCCAGCCAGCCTGGCCAGCCCCTTTCCCTCCGCGGTGAGGAGCCACACGCACGGTGACCGCACTCGGGTGAGAGGAGAATGGGCAGGGGAACCAGGTGAGGGACCCTGAGCATAGGGACCTCCGGCTGGCCCTCATGGGGGCCAGGCTCAGCCTTTACTCTTGGACCCTTCCTCCCAGCCTCCAGCCTGAGACTCCCCAAGCGAGCCTCAGCCACCTTGCACATCCCGGACTGGCCAGCCACCCCCCGGCCCGAGACCCAGAGGGACCCCAGAAAGCATCGTCCTCCAGCATCTGTAGGACACACGTCGCCCGGGACGACTGCAGGACCCCGCAGAACCCTTGCGGCCAGCTCTGCGTGTGACTCGGACCTGGCGGAGGGACCCGGTGGCAGCTGGACCGCGAGCACCACCCCCCTGGGTCGAGCGCGCGTCTCCCCTGCAGGCACCGCGCGGTGGAGAAATCCCAGGGACCCCAGTCACCTTAAAGGAGGTGTCACAGGGCAGGGTCTGGCCCCCCCTGGGGACCCCGTCACAGACACCCCGACAGGAGCATGCATCCAGGACTCCGAGGCGCACACAGGGTGGGAAAAATGCGCAAAAGTGCAGCGACCGTCGGGGACACCCCCACATCCTCCCCGCACGCCCACCCCCCAAGTGTCCCGGACGTGCAGCCCCGTTTGAGGTCCCGGGGGTCCCCGGGGCCCGCTGCACCCCGCCCTCCGCGGCGCCCTCGCGCCCGCCCCGCCGGCCCCGGGCCCGGGGCGCCTCGGGTTACGGGGCGCGCTCGGGTTTCCGCCGCCCGCCCGCCCCGCGCGCACTCACCGCGGCCTCCGCCTCCCGCGCGCAGCCCGGTATGGTCCGCGGGCGCCACAAGCCGGCTCTGCGGGCGCCGACCCGCGGCCCAGCCTTTAACCCCGCCCGGCCACGCCCCGGCCACCCCGCCCCGGCCCGCCCGCCTCTGGGCGGGGACGCGAGCGCGGCCCCCAGAGACGGGGGAAGAGAGGAGGCGAGGAAGGGTGGAGAGACGGGAGGGGACAGAGGTGGAGGCCGAGGGGGAGAAAGCGACAGGCGGAGAGCTGCAGTCAGACCCGGACACCTGGAAGGCCCTAACCATTAGGCTTCCCGCCCCTGCCCCGGTCCGGGCTCGTGAGCGTCCAGTCCCTCCTCCGGAAGCACATCGGCACCCCCGTGGCCCCACCTGGGAGCTTGTTCACAAGCTTGTACACAAGCTAAACCATCACCCTGGGGGTCCCCCCAAGCATCCTCTGGGGCCCCCAGAAATCTCAGACTCCACCTGCCACGGGGCAGGGGCCCTTCCACTCTCCCCGAATCCTAGGCCTGACCCACGCGCCTGGGACTGTGCCTCTCCCTCCAGGAAGCCCTCCGGCCTCAACACGCAAGGCCAGCCTGGTTCTGCCCCCCACCCCACCCCGCCCCTCCCCACCCACTGCCAGTCACCGCGGTGACCCTCTGGCCAGGATGGTGCCCTCGGCCAGCCCATGTGCCCCAGGTGTGCCCAGACAGAATCGCCCCGGCCTCTGGATGTGCCCTCCCGGGTGAGGGACCCCGTGTGTCCGGCGGTGAACTTGGAAGATTTCTTTATGCCACTTTATTTTAATAATGCTTTCTCCTTGGCTGCCTCGGGGCCTGGGGGGGAAGAGGGGGCACGTTTCCAGGCGGAGGAGGCAAGACGCTCTGCTGCTGGGAGTCGGCAGAAGGGAGGCCAGGGAAGACGAGGACGTGGAGGATGTGACATTCGAGCTGGGACTTCAGGTTGGGTTTCAACAGGTGCAGGAGAGGGGGTGGGGCTCAGGCACAGAGAAACTGGAGGGTGTGGCTTGGCAGGTGACTTTCCCTGGCCCTGGGGTGTGACAGGTGAGGAGGCTGGAAGGGGGGGAGGGGTCGACTGTGAAGGGTCTTGAAGTCTTGAGTGGCTGGGGGTGGATCTGGTGGGCAATGGGGAGCCACAGGTGGTGCTTGAGGAGGGGAGTTTCCTCTCGTTGGTTGGTTTGTTTTAAAGCTCATTAGAGCTGTCATTTTTTTTTTTTTTTTTTTTTTGCACAGAGTCTCACTCTGTTAACCGGGCTAGAGTGCCGTGGCGTCAGTCTCGCTCACAGCAACCTCAGACTCCTGGGCTCAAGCGATCCTCCTGCCTCAGACTCCCGAGTAGCTGGGACTACAGGCACGCGCCACCATGCCCGGCTCATTTTTTCTGTATATTTTTAGTTGTCCAGATAATTTGTTTCTATTTTTAGTAGAGACGGCATCTCGCTCTTGCTCAGGCTGGTTTCGAACTCCTGACCTTGAGCGATCCTCCCGCCTCGGCCTCCCAGAGTGCTGGGATGACAGGTGAGAGCCACCGCGCCCGGCCTAGACCTGTCTTTTTATTAGTCAATCATTTTAACTTAAACTTGACACATTGTTAGAGCCTATTATTTTAGGGATGCGGGCTTAGTTTTGCCAATGACGTTGACAGAAGGAGCTCATCAGAGACATTTTGGAAAATATAAACATTCAGAAAGAGCAAAGATCACGCCTGTCGCCCCAAACTGCGGAGCAGCCTCACGAGCCCCGCTCCCCGTGAGAGAGGCTAGACGCAAAGCGCCACACGTTGCCTGAGTCCATTTATGTGAGACACTCGGGACAGGCAACGCCTTAGACTCAGAAAGTGAAGTGACGGTTGCCAGGGGCTGGGAGAGGGGAAACGGGACAGAAACCAATACCCCGGGGGCAACGGTTATAGGATATCTTTTTGGGGCGACAAAAATGTATTGGAGCCGGGCGCAGTGGCTCACGCCTGTAATCCCAGCTCTCTGGGAGGCCGAGGCGGGTGGATTGCTCAAGGTCAGGAGTTCGAAACCAGCCTGAGCAAGAGCGAGACCCCGTCTCTACTATAAATGGAAAGAAATTAAATTGGCCAACTAATATATATAGAAAAAATGAGCCGGGCATGGTGGCGCATGCCTGTAGTCCCAGCTACTCGGGAGGCTGAGGCAGGAGGATTGCTTGAGCCCAGGAGTCTGAGGTTGCTGTGAGCGAGGCTGACGCCACGGCACTCACTCTAGCCTGGGCAAGAGAGCGAGACTCTGTCTCAAAAAAAAAAAAATGTATTGGAAATAGATAAAGGTGATGGCTGCACAACACTGTGGATGCAATAAATGCCACTGAGTCGTGCACTCTATTTTCTTGAAAGATGATTCTAGCAGGAAACAGATGGAATATTCCAAAATATTTGAAGAGACTTTATTTTTTTATTTTATTTTTTATTTATTTATTTATTTTGAGACAGAGTCTCACTCTGCTGCCCAGGCTAGAGTGAGTGCCGTGGCGTCAGCCTCGCTCACAGCAACCTCAAACTCCTGGGCTCAAGCGATCCTCCTGCCTCAGCCTCCCGAGTAGCTGGGACTACAGGCATGCGCCACCATGCCCGGCTAATTTTTTTCTATATATATTAGTTGGCCCATTAATTTCTTGCTATTTATAGTAGAGACGGGGTCTCGCTCTTGCTCAGGCTGGTTTCCAACTCCTGACCTTGAGTGATCTCCGCCTCGGCCTCCCAGAGTGCTGGGATTACAGGCCTGAAGAGACTTTAATAAAAGTGATATTTTGCAAGGGATAGTGCAGCACCCTGAGGGTTAGTAACAGCCAAGCGCGAGTCATCACCACCTCTAGGACCCGGGGCCAAGGGGCGAAAGCAGTTCCTTGAACCTGGACACCACGGGGCTGGGTGCCGGGGGCAGGCCGGCAGGAGCCGCGAACCTCGCACGGCACACACAGCCAGCCCGCATGGGAAAGAGATGGGGTAGAAATACCTTGGCCTCACTTTCCTCCCTCTCTCCGGGGCCTGCTGTGGCTCCCTATTGGTTGGATGCCTTTGGGAGCCACAAGGCAAAGGAGTCCGTTGAGTGGTCCAGGTAAGTTAGCCTCCTGGGAGGCAGAGTGGGGGAGGGGATCAGAAACGTGGAGACAGGGCGGGACACACCTGAGATTTCCAGCAAAAAAAAGGGGAGCAGTTCAAAAGTGAGGGGCAAACGGCCCCTTCCAACTCGTGCCAGCCATGGGGCCATGTTTACCAAACCCATCCAGAACCTCTCTCCCGCTTGAAATCCTTTGCATATGCTGTTCCCTCTGCTTGGAATTCTCTTCCTGTCACCCACCCAGCTAACTCTTACTTGCCAAGGTCATTTTCCCTGAGGGCTTCCCCAACCGCTGGGCGCAGTTCCAGCCCTACCCTGCAGCCACAGCCCTCGTGGAATGATTTAGCGACTGTCTCCCTAGATCTGGCCGTGAGCTCTAGGCCGAGGGACTGAGTCTTCCTCGCTCCCTGCCTTTTCCCCAACCTCAGCGGGCACACCACACGCATTCATTCGACAAACACCAAGTCCTGGCCGGGCGTGGCAGCTCACGCCCGTCATCCCAGCACTCTGGGAGGCCGAGGCGGGAGGATTGCTCCAGGTCAGGAGTTTGAGACCAGCCTGAGCAAGAGCGAGACCCCCCGTCTCTACTAAAAATAGAAAGAAATTAATTGGCCAACTAAAAATATATAGAAAAGAAAAACTTAGCCGGGCGCGGTGGCTCACGCCTGTAATCCTAGCACTCTGGGAGGCCGAGGCGGGCGGATTGCTCGAGGTCAGGAGTTTGAAACCAGCCTGAGCAAGACCCCGTCTCTACTAAAAATAGAGAGAAATTAATTGGGCAACTAAAAATATATATACAAAAAATTAGCCGGGCGTGGTGGCGCATGCCTGTAGTCCCAGCTACTCGGAGGCTGAGGCAGGAGGATCGCCTGAGCCCAGGAGTCTGAGGTTTCTGTGAGGGAGGCTGACGCCACGGCACTTAGTCTAGCCTGGGCAACAGAGTGAGACTCTGTCTCAAAAAAAAAAAAGAAAAAAGAAAAACTTAGCCAGGCATGGTGGCGCGTGCCTGTCGTCCCAGCTACTCGGGAGGCTGAGGCAGGAGGATAGCTGGAGCTCAGGAATTGGAGGTTGCTGTGAGCGAGGCTGAGGCCACAGGCACTCTAGCCCAGGGCAACAGAGTGAGACTGTCTCAAAAACAAAACAAAACAAAAACAAACAAGTCCTCACACAGTACCAGGCATTGTCCTACAGTGAACAAACAGAAACACGGAGTCTAAAGCGGGCATATTCTCTGCGGTGCGTGCTGTGGGGGAGCCGAGCGAGGTAGGGAGGGGGGGAGGTGTCCCTGAGAAGATGATACTTGAGCAGAGACCTCGGGGGCGGCACGAGAGGCGTCCCAGGCAGAGGACTTAGCTTGTGCAAAGGCCCTGAGGCTGGGCTGTGCCTTGAGGAACAGCCAAGAGACCAGTGAGGCCCAGCAGAGTGGTTGAGGGCGCGGGGATGGGAGAAGACGGGAACAGGAGGTGACAAGACAGATTACGTAGGACCTGAGGGACCCCTGGGAGGACGTAGGTTTTTTGTCTTTGTTTTTTTTTTTTTTTGAGACAGAGTCTCACTTTTTGTTGCCCCGGCTAGAGTGAGTGCCGTGGCGTCAGCCTCGCTCACAGCAACCTCCAACTCCTGGGCTCAAGCGATCCTCCTGCCTCAGCCTCCCCAGTAGCTGGGACTACAGGCATGCGCCACCATGCCCAGCTAGTTTATATATGTAAATTATATAATTGGCCAGGCTCGGTGGCTCACGCCTAGCACTCTGGGAGGCCGAGGCGGGGGGATCACTTGAGGTCAGGAGTTGGAAACCAGCCTGGGCAAGAGCGAGACCCCGTCTCTACTATAAATAGAAAGAAATTAATTGGCCAACTGATATATACGGAAAAAATGAGCCGGGCATGGTGGTGCACGCCTGTAGTCCCAGCTACTCGGGAGGCTGAGGCAGGAGGATCGCTTGAGCCCAGGAGTTTGAGGTTGCTGTGAGCGAG